CCCGCCGTAAAAACAGGGGACGCATGCGAGACACACCTTCTACACTTTCATCATCGGCATGAACATGATAAGTCAACAAGTGCTTGTACTTGGTGCTCTAACGTTTGCTCCTTGCACGAGTTTAGAATACGTAGTACTTGAACAGGTACTGAGCGCCGGTACGAATTTCTCATTGGTCGTCAAGTCGAAGCTCTGAGCTGCTGTATGCTCTCATAGTGAGGCAGCTCGTTAGTCCCTCATTGCATGGCGCTTCCAGAGTCGCACCTAATCGGAACGATGTGTGAAAATCATCAAGTGCGGGGTCGTACTTATTGGGGTTGATGTAACCGTTTGTGCCAACTGGTGACAACTTGTCACCAGTTGGTACATGTTGCTTGTCAGTGACAAGCAACATGCGTGAAGGCAACTCCTCTTGGATACCGTCAAGAGCCTCGAGTTACCGGTAGCTGAAAATGGCTTGTCGATGAAGCACAAATGTCCCCATCATGGCGGTTGTACAATGTTGGCGGCATCCAGAGCTTTGCCAAGCTTCTTCAATGCCGAGCTTCGGTTCGGTGGAACTCGAGCGCGGCGCGAGCGTCACATTCGTTGCCAAGTTCGTCACAGAGATGACGAATAACTCCTCTTTTGGCGTCGAGTGCGCGCACCGATTTAGCGTCCTTTGTGGCCGCATTCGCCAATATACATGCCAATGCAAGGTGGGTGGCAGCAGGCTCGTTCGGCAACCAGTAGCCATGTTGCGGCCTTGGCTTAGTCGCTGTTCCGCTCGCGCTGGCACTGATAGAGGGCTTCTTTTAGCTCGCGCAACTGTGCACGGACAGCGGCCTTCTGCACTTTTGGTGCAGCAACAACGCCGTCACCAGCCCCTGGCGCAATACCACGGAAGTAACAAGAAGTGGCCCTCGGGGTTGGCCTCAAGTCTGGTCACCGCACCAACACGTGAGCTTGGATCGCGTCCAGCGGCAACTGCGGTTTAGTCGGCAAGTGCGGCTTCCCTGACTTCTCTTGCATCCTCCGCTTTCATTCTCGTGAAGCAGTTGAGGCAGTCGACGATGTTGCGGGGCTTGTCCAGAGACACAGTGGTTTTGCAACCACATTCCTCGATGGCATTGCATTTTTTCTTCCGAATGAGCGAACCGGACCGTTCGACGGGCGACATGGCTGGCGGTGTTGGAGATGCTAATGGGGGCCACTTTCAATCTCGTTGGCACGAAACGACACCGTCTTCCTTTTTTTGCTAACCGACAATCACGCGATATAAAACGCCAGGTAAATATGTCGTGAATTAGAAACAAACAACGGAGAATGTCGTTTAGAAACACAGCCACACGGACTAGATGCTGATTGGCTATAAGATGGAAATCATCCAATTTTGCGGTGAAGCTGGCTCATGCCTGTTCGACTACCGGTACTGTACTGGTCGACCACATTCAAGGACAACTTGACTGCCATTGACAACGTGGTCATGATCCTGCACTCGTGGCACGACCCGATCGTCTTCCGGCGAAGCTGGTGCGTCGTTGAGGTCTACGTCGCTGTGGCCAAAGGCGCGCGCTTTGAGGTTGCACTTTCGCGTGATAAACCGATTTCATTGATATTGCCGGCGACAGTGCCTTGCTTGAAATGCTCGCGACGATCAAGAGTGGAAACTCCAAGTCGACGAGAAGACAATCAGAAGCGTCCGCGGCGGCATATTCGCCTTGATTTGCACTGTGACGTCGTTCACGTCCATCGACCAGTTCATATTTTCTACGTTTGCCAGCTAAAAATAAATGAAGACAATAATGATGATGTCGATGGCAGCGACCTCGGCGCTCATCGAAACGATAAAGTGAAGGCAGCAACTCGGTGCCATTTACTTAAGAGTGGCCGAGTTCGGCGAGAAGGAGCGTTGCTCCCGAGCGGCGCTAACGTTTAACGCCTTGTACAGGCAGCGGCGTGGCGCCGGCCAGCGGGATACGATTTGTCGCGTCCCAACGACGCGCCGAGGCGTGACTCGAGAGCTGCATGCCTGTGCAAGCCGATGGTCGGCTGCCTCATCGGGTGCGAAGCGTGTCCTCGCGACGCGTTCAAGTCGCGTACAGGTTGTCCTTCTCTGGACGTCGCCGCGGTGGAGCTCACTCGACAATGCGTGGACAAGACTACACGCGAGGCTATTGCCGCGTGCGAAGATCCATCGACACCTTCACGTTCTCGTCGACGATTAGGGTCCTATCGCAAGAATAAGATTAGAAAAGGTGGATTCTGGACCATGTCTAACCGTTCGAGTATGAGCTATTGAAAATGGGAACGAGTCTTTGGCTAGTACCGTCGTTGGTGGATGGACCCGAGCATTGCCTACCACATACAAACCAAGCCTTGGCTCGCGTCGAATCCGCGCAACCAAAAGAAAGAACGTTGTCACATGCGTGTGTTGTGGCGCGAAACGTGTACTAGTGTTCAAATGGCTACAGTTCGATCCAAAAAATAGCCAAGCAGGAAGCATTATCGTCAATTGCCATGCAGATGACGACGCATCGTTTACAAAGGAACCAATGAGGTCGACTGAATTTTTTTCGATTTGGTGAATTTTCAACAACGCACGACAACTCAGCACCACGCGTACCACGCAATCGCTCGGGCCAACAAAACACCACCTTTGGCTTGATCTTGTTCAAGCGGTGCCCCGGTGTACCGTACGTGGCACCCTACCGTGCGATTTATACATGTAGTACCCGGTACCTGTAGTACACGTGCGTCCAAGCGATAACTCCGATCTGGACGCAAATCGATGTCCTTTCTATTGCCAGCCGACAGCCTCCAAAGAGCGTGCCTGCCTCGCTGCCTCCGCCATCGTCGTCCACGTATAAGTATACCAACGCAGCAGCGTGGGTGGTGCTGGGCGCAACTCCATGTGTGACGATGTGCAGCTCGTCGACAGATGGCACGTATTTGACCAATCAAAACCGCGGCGTGACGACGCCCTCTGCAATTCCCGGGCGAGGCCGGCGCACCAAGGGCGTCGAGTGCAGAGACTCGACCGGTCGGCGTCGATGCGCGACGCCAATTTACGTGCAGATGCAGTCGTTTGGCGACGTATCGAGGGCGGCGTAGGTCGCATGGACACTTGTACTACAGTCGTTTGTCGAAAAGATGTTCAACGCAGCGCGTCCCAGCGCAAAGTACTGTCTGTTTTGGGGTTTGACGGCCGTGCGCAGCACAACCCAAAACGACTCCGTCACTCGAGCAAACGCGACGTCGACGCCAGCATGCTCGTACCAACGTGCTTCTTCAACGGGTGTACGAACCCGCGCCTCCCGATGAGCGTCAAATGCGACTTCCACAAGCACCGCCTCCAATGCCTCGACGACGGCTGCCACAACCAAGTGTACGCGCGCCATCGCTGCGTGCGCCACGGCGGCAAGCTGCGCTGCGCCCACCCGACCTGCGACCGCAATGTCCGCTTAGGGGCCTTTTGCTCGTCGCACGGTCAGTCGACGGCGAAACGCCACTGCTCCGAGCCCGGCTGTACGACGCAGGCCCACGCCCGCGGTCTCTGTGTGCGCCATGGCGGCGGCCGGCCGTGTGCCGCACCCGGGTGCCCGCTGCACGCCCGCACACGCGGCTTTTGCGCTCGTCACGCTCGCCACACCAACAACCCAAACAACAACAGCAGCAGCAGCATCAATAACATCAGCAATATCGCTCAACTTCCCGTGACGCCGCCCCCGCGACTACCGCCGACGCCGACGGTGCTGCCGACGATCGAGCCGCGACGAAAACCCTGCATCATCCATGGGTGTCTTCGACGCGCGCACGCACGACAGCGCTGCGTGCGGCACGGCGGCGGCCGTCTCTGCGCTGTCCCCGACTGCACGAGCCATGCGCGGACGGGCGGTGTCTGCTGCCGGCATGCGCAGGAGCGGCCTACTCTCTCGACGACTGATACCAAGAGCCTTGCCCTGTGGCCGCGCCCGACTCTTGGACTACGTAGCCCCGTCACCGTCGTTGACGTCCCCGCGGTATTGCGCGTGGAGTACCGTGGTCAAGCCTCACTCGACTGGCTCGAACCGTTCGAGTCGTCGTCGTCGTTTGGCTTTGTGGATCCGATGACTGACATTGGTTCGATGATTCTGCCCGACTTGGAGCTCGAGCTACTGGACTTTACAAGCGCCTTGACATACTAGTAGAAAAAAGTGTTTCGATAGACGTCTTATTGTCTCATTGTACTAGTTGGTTCGTTTTATATAGATTAAATGTGATCTCGCCACTCGGTCGGGCGACCTCGACGTGTGTGTGCGCTGCAGTCATTTCTTGGGATCTTGGCGCTGGAGAAAGCACTCAGAACTCATAGGTACCCTATGCAGGGCTAAGGTACGTACATCTAAGTGTTTAACTGGTGACGTATCTGAATCGTGAGCTCTTTTGGCGCTTAAAAGTCACAACTATACATAAGAAAAACACTCACTAGGTATACGTCATGACGCTGTGTAGGCCGTGCAAAACTCAAACTAAATAGATCAATCGAAATCACGCCTCACGGTCGGCGTGGCCCGCGGAGCTCAAAACGTGCTCAATTGAGTTTGGTCGCCTCTACAGGAAATTAGTGACTCTGAGAGGCCCCGAAAAGGTCGCAAAAGTTTTATCAGTTCATGCGTGCATGGATGATGAAAGTCGAGTGGCGATGCTGTCTCTCTAGTACGTTTAGGCAAACTTGTCATTTGCTCGCTCAAAATGGGTCGATTGAGCTCA